GCATTTGAGGAAGAATATTTAAAATGCAGAGGTTCACTGGGCATAGAATGTTTATTTTTATTTCCATCAATTGCAGAAAACTACTGGTCAAGGGGTCAGACAATGATATGGTATAATCATTCTTGGAATTTAAAAAATAATAATAAATTGTGGATATACAGATTGAAAAATTGTACCTATTCGTGCCCCGGTATCACCTACTACAGTAAACCACACGGGAGGGACATGAGGGACATTTACAGGAGATCATCTCTGCAGGAGTCTCCTCACCCTCACAGAGATTCTCCCACCTGCAGCCAGTGTCATCATAGAGAGGTTCTCTATGTCTGCCCTAGTTGTGGCTCTCAGCTGGCCATCTCCTTGGCTCACTGACAACACATGTCCATTGGAATTGCACTACAAGAGACTTCCCCTTGCTGCAGCTGCCCCCAGGACTCCTGGGAGGGTTCTGTGGAAAAGATAATACATCAGGCTGTATGATCTTTTCTGGGTAAATTCTGCACAGTTGGGGTAGCAGGAACAATGAGGTCCCCCTCCCAAAACATGTCCAATATTTGCCTTCTCCTCCAGCACAAAATTCTGGTCTTCAGGGGAGGCCTCCATGGGGTCTGGAGGCAGGGAGATGTTACTACTGAGGTAACCTAGCCCCCTTCCATTTGTGTGTCAGTTTATTGTTGAGGTTGCTGGAAAAGTGTACCCAATGCAGAACTATGTTTTAAATCTATTGGATCTCATGGCCCCAACTATCCTTCAGCTTCATTCTTTTTCATTGCTCAAAACCTAATACAAGATTTAAAAAACAGAAGGACAGAGCAAAGGTCACTGTAGTTCACAATGGCAATATATTAGAGAACACCAGTTACAGGTGAGTAAGCTTTCTCCATTATGCTATTGCCACACAGATTCTCATTGCAGGAAGGATATTTGGGGAGGTGAGCACTACAAGTAAAAACATGTTATTTTTAAAGTGTAAGGGGACTGTTGTCCCCTTACTAAAACTCAGTGGGGGTGATTTGGTTGGCTAGTTCCTAGAATCAAAAGAAAGGGGAAGGGTCGATGGGAAATCAGGACCCTCAGTCTGACAGTCCCCAGGAACATTGGAGAGAGGCCAATGCTCCAGGTCAGCCTGATTGACAGGGTGGGCAGGCTAATCAGGGAGGCAAAGGGGATCAGACAGAGTGGGGCCGAGCTAAGGAAAAAGCAGGAGCCCAAGCTGAGCTGGGGAGCAGAGCTGTGCCAGCCAGAGGGGCCAGAAAAGCATCCCAGGAAGCAGGTCAGTGCTGGGAGCAGAGTCGCAGCAGCAGCCCACCGAGCAGACCTGTGCTGGGAGCAGAGCTGTAGCAACCAGAGGGGCCAGAGAAGCAGCCCAGGGAGCTGGAGGCAGAGCAGCAGCAGCGCTGAGGCAGAGTGGAGCTGGAGCTGGAGCTAGGGCTGGAGCAGTCTGGAGGTGGGTCTGGTGAGCAGCTGGAGAGAGCGAGGGGGACCCTGGGAAGCGGGCCCAGTGCAGGGAGACGCCCCCAGCCAAGACACCTGGCAGGCCAGACTTGGAGGGGGATTGTAACCCCAATGGGGTGGGGGTGACGCTGGGAAGAAAGGTCCTGCCACCTAGACCCTGAGAGCATGTGGCCAACAACTCGCAGCATCCCTGCAGCACAGCCAGGGCCTGAGGAGGAGGCCTGGGACTTGTGAGGAACAGACTGAACTGCCCTTACATTCCAGAGGCGCTGGTTCTGATGTCCCTGTGCCACAGAGCGGGGTTACATGTTTTCCTTTAACCTTTCCCATTTTTCCCTTATTTTTTTAAATCAATTGCTGTTTAAATACATTGTATTTGCTTTGAACTGTGTGTAATGATCAGTGGGTCAGGAAAGCATCCAGTGCAGAGAGAGCACCCCTGAGTGGGGACACCCTAGCCCCTGCCCTAAGTGACCACAACAAGGTTGGAGGTCGAGCCCCCCAGGAATCCTGGGCCCAGCCTTGTTGAGGTTATGAGGACTCTGCCACACAGGAGAGTGGAAGGGGAGCTCTCAGGGTCAGGCAGGCCTCTGGGTAAAGAAAGTGGGCGTTAGGACTCAGATCCTTTCACTAAGGGTATGTCTACACCCAGCCGCTAGTTCGGCGGCTGGCAATCGAAGTTCTGGGTTTGACTTATCGCGTCTTGTCTGGACGCAATAAGTCGAACCAGGAAGTGCTCGCCGTCGACTGCGGTACTCCAGCTAGACGAGAGGAGTACCGCGGAGTCGACGGGGGAGCCTGCCTGCCGCGTGTGGACCGAGGTAAGTTCGAACTAAAGTACTTCGAACTTCAGCTACGTTATTCACGTAGCTGAAGTTGCATACCTTAGTTCGATTTGGGGGTTTAGTGTAGACCAAGCCTAGGCCATTTCACTGGAGTAGTGTATAAGCCAGGAAAGTTCCGCACAGTAGCGGGACCATTCCCCTGCTTACAAAAGGGAAAATAATCCTAACAACTAGAGGATGTACCTTTATTACTCATGAATCTAACCATCACCTCCCTGGCAGCCCCGTGGAAGAGTTACTCCAGCTTTAGACAGGGATAACTTTCACTTGCCTCCGCAGGTTGAAGGTTTGAAAGTCAAAAGAACATGGAACTATTCTCCTCTGGTGTTACTCTGCAACTTGTTGCCATTGAGCTGTGGTTGAGTTTTGGTTAAATTCATGGAGCAGAACCTTTTTGTTTTATTTATGTTTACATTTATAAAATCTAAATATTTCAAACCTGCTGAAGAGCCAGGATTTATGACTTTCCAGGACTTGTGTATGTATTTTCAACTGCATCAGGCCCTATGTATCTACCTTTATATGGAGACATTATACTTGGTCAGATAAATAATATACCTCCTCCACAAATACCTATTATGCTGTAGAATATAATTACCAAAACTATAAATAATCCAATCCTTGGTTTGTATGGATTGTATGAGTTACTACAGGATGCTATGTCAATTCACAGATAGAGAATGTTTTAACTATTGCTAGGAGGAAAGGAATGGAACTCTATTACCATTAAGATTATGAGACAACAATTTCAGTGATATTCAAAAATAATAGAGAAAAGGCCATCATGTCCCCTCCCCCCACTGCATATATGTAGTGCAACATATTATTTTATACACTAGGTAAAATAACATGGGGTTCAAATATGCAATAACCAATCACAATAGAGAGGGTTAAGGACAGAGTTTCAGACAATTTTCCTGTCTGAATTCTAATGTTCCTCAGGTACAATTTTGGGCATATGTTTTAAAGTTGCACTGCATTTTTCTATATAAACAAGTAGGTAGGCAGAAAGACAACGCAGTAAACTCAAGGCAAGACTGCCTCTCAGTGGTAGTATGCTTTTATACAGTATGACTACATATTTTTTAAATATTCCGAATGTATATTTTCATAATTCAGAGGTAAAACACCATTAAATCATCTTCATTTAAAATGACACAATTATTAGGAATCAATACTTTTTAGTACATTAGATTTAATACCACTCAAGGAACTCTCCTCTGCATATTATTTGACATAACTGACTCCTGCTAGAAAATTACAGTATTTGAATATTACTAAGTTTTTATCTATTACAGTAGAATGGTCAGTCGGGGTGTGTGTGTGTGTGTTTTATACAAGGGAGGTTGACTTTTGTAGCCAGGCTTACTGTTGCTATTCTCTGTTACTCAGAATCTATATTTGGTTTTGCATCTTAAGCAATAAAAATAATGTAGCAGTCCATTTGCTATTATGAACCTGTATTTTGAAAAAAATAAAGAGAGGACTCCGAAGTGCCTGGTAGGCCAGCTGAATATTCCACGCTGCATTTCCGTTCAGTCACAGAGAACACTGCATTAAAACCCTGCAGTTCTTTGGAATATTTTTCATGCTCAGAGGCTGCTTTCAAATCCAATCATAAAACCCTACCTGTGACTGGTTTCCTTCTGACCACTTTAGGGAGACTGGAGAGATGCATGCCAGCCACATACCGCACTACAGGACTAGACACATGAGCATTCTTCAAGCATGAACAGCATCCCTAACACTGTAATTGAGTACTGATAGGGGACAAGTGAGCTCCTGGTGCAAGAAGAGCCTAAAACATTTGTTTAAGATGATCATGGAGAGGTTAGTAATTCCCAGTCATAAGAGAGACAGGTGTTTCTGGACTAAGCTGCAGTGGTGTGCTGACCAGAGAACGTATTTGGCCCTCTCCTCATCTGACCCATCTTTTCTGGCAACCAGTCTCTTATTTGTACCTCTTGCACTTTGTCACTGTTTCCTGCTTCATGGTGTGCACTGTGAAGCTGTACTTTTACACAGGCTGGAGCAGCACTTCAAAGGAGGCACTGTGGCATGTAGTGCAAAGGATTTTGTCATGCTTTGTCATGCTGGAAGACTGTCTGCCACACAGACCTGCAATGGGAGGCCCTCCCCTTGTGTGTACCCACAACAAGCGGAGAGAGAGAGACTGAAGCAGGCTTGTTGTTCACTTACAACCAAATGAAACCCACAGAAGAGATGGCCACTTCAACTTTGTACCTTCACTGGCATAGGGTGACCAGATAACAACTGTGAAAAAACGGGACGGGGTGGGGAGTAAAAGGCGCCTATATAAGAAAAAGTTCCAAAAAACGGGACTGTCCCTTTAAAAAAGGGACATCTGGTCCTCATTAGATGTGGTACCTAAAGTATCTGTCTATCTTGCTTTTCCAATTGACTTTAACAGTTGCAGTCTCTCTTACATCATCATAGATCTAATTGTACTTTTTTAAAAAGGTGACACTATGCACTGCAATATTAGGTGCACACAGTATAGTTATGATTGGTAAAACCTGATAGTTGTGTTCAGGGAGTTTACATTAGCAATTGTTTTACACAACTGTGTGATTCTAAATTAATTCACTAGAATCCCCCACTCTTGAAGTTTGGTGAACAAGGCTGGTGAACAAGGTGAACTGGGCTGAAACCCACTGTGGCCACAGAAATTCCACTTACTAACTGTTACTTTGTCTTTATCGCCCAGCATGATATTGTTTGGAGTGATGTCTCTATGGACAATCCTCTTCTCTTTGTGCAAGTAACGGAGAGCTAGACACAGCTTCAAAACAAAAAGACATATAAAGAATTTTAACTGCAACCCAAATAAAAATCACATAAAATTATGTTAACATTTTATGACATGAGTGCTTCGGCACTACAAGTATTATTTTATAAATTTATTAGTCCAACATATACAAATGGCTCTACAAATTTTATAAAGAAAGGTCACAAATTAAAATGCATGTCCTTACTTGTATAAATATATTCCATATTCTATCTTCTGTAAACTGTTGTTGCCTTTCCTTCAAAGAATGAAAGTGTTCTCCCAGCGGTGCCCCTTCTATGAGCTCCATTACTATGTAGAGTCTGTCATCTATGCACAACAAAAGGAAATGGCAATCCCAAAAGAATATTACATTCATATATCCAGCATATCCACAGAAAACATGATCTTGGTCAAAATGTACATATATGATTGTTATTTTATTACTCTGCTTAAATTATTTGTATGTGCAAATATATTTTAATGACTACTCTTGTTCTTGTCATTCAAATTCGTTCTTCAGAGTCACATCTGCTGCAACACCTACAAGAAATTAGATAGCTAATAACAACAGCCAGGGAGGACAGCTGCCTATAGTTCATGCATACAAAAAGGGGCTGGGGGGGAGAAATGGAATGAATAATTCATGTATCAGTCACCACCCTGTATTATGATCTCTTTCCCATCCTCAGCATCTCAATTTTGTTTTTCAGACTGTATATTCTTTAGAGCAGGGTGTGTCTTATATGTTTGGACAGGGCCTAGCACATTACAGGTGCTACTGCAATGTAAATCAATGTAAATATTAGCTATTGTTATTTACAGGCTGCTGTAGCCAATTTTTAAACCAACACTTAGGTCTAAATCTGTCTGAGCTGTAGTGCTATTCTTAAGAGAAAATTAACTCCTACTGTTCAAGTTGGATAGGATCTTTCCTGGATCTACTAAGTACTTTTATTATGCTATTATTTCTTCATGACAAACAACATGGTTTTTAGTCACTAAGTTTTTACTCACTTTCCAGGAAGGTTCTGTAATATCGTACAACATTGGGATGATAAAGCTACAATAAGAACAAAAATTAGACAGTTGGAATTAATGTTAGATTGAGGGCACAATTTTGATAACATCTATCTATAAATTGAACAGAATAGCAATAGTTTTAAGACAAATATTATAAAAGTTTCCGAAATTTGTATTCCAAAAAACTTCTGGATTTCAGAGGGTTGTAACTAATTCTATCTGATAAATGTGCCTTTGCCTTATGGGGGCATATCAGACAGGATTTCCTCTCTCCATTTGCCCAGATGGCATAAGGACTCCCTAATCACAGTCACTCTAGGAGTTGACAGGGTAGCCTGAGCCATTGTTGCCCTTTCTCCCAATTTCAGACTTGGAGGGAAGGTATATTACAAAAAAGGGTGTTGAAGATTACTCTCCTTCCCCAGCAAAACCAGGAAGTTCGGAGAACAAACAAGATGATTCTGACTTAGCCCCTAACAGTGGAAGGAATGGAGCAAAGAAATACTGGGGCAAAGTCATTAAGCCTGCACAAAGTCCCCTTTGCTTCAACAGACAACCCTAAATCTGATTTGCATTCAATATTGTTTTTAATTTAAAAATCACATTTAGGTTGAAAAGGAGAACTTGTAAGTTACAACAGTGACTTTTTCGGACTAAAATCTGACAATTTCAAAGCCAAGAAAACTTAATATGGAATAGAAACACTGGCCAACTTTTCATTAGGCTGTTGCTAACAGATTATGCTTTATTAAAGGAATTCTTTTAAATTGTTGAATACATCAGTTAACAAGTTCAGAATTTCCAAGTAACAATAAGGGCTTGTTTACACTGCAGCTAATACTGAATTGTTTGTAATGTTTGGAGTCATGTAGATGGGACACTGGCATTTTTTACATTGTGTTGATCAGACTAAAAACAGCAGCAGCTGGCAGCCTATATACACTAGGGCTCCCAAAAACACACCTGAGCTGCTGTTAGTGATGGTGAGAAATTTTTAGAAAATGTCCCGTAGTGAAGGGTTTATGACACTTACCTGTTCTTTAATGATTGTTAATTCAGAGACAATGTTCTTTACACTGCTGTCTCTGTCTTTTTTGTCCTTTCCAAATGCTGGATTATGTAAATTGACTTCTTTCATTGCTAGTAGATTTTGGCCACTATGTTTTCTAACCTACAGGGGGGGGAAACGTGTAAAAATTAACAAAAAAGGATGGGGTCAGAAAGGACATTAATCATATATATGTGGTCAGTTAACTGAGTCTAAATCTCTCTCTTAAATTCTAAAGTCATTATTCTTTCTGTAGTTAGTGTGATATCAGCTTAAAAAGTGTAGGAGACCAATGATGCAGTTAGCAGTGTCCTGCAGGGTTTGCTTAGATGTTTTAAATAACTTCATAGATGCTCTGTGTGGGGCTTTGCAGAAACAGTGGTGTGAATCCCTGCAGATTACACAGATTGGTCACACTTTCTAGCACACAGAACTGCTGTCTGTGAAAAGTAGTACAAAGAAAAAGAGTAGTAATAAAGATCACTGTTGTTCTGAGAAACATATTGGCCATTTTTCTACAAATGGTGTCAAACAGATTCACAATAAACCTAAAAAATGGTGGAAAATACCACAGAAATGTCAACAGAAAATTGTTAGTTAATATCAAAAAGCAAGTTTACCTTATAAACACTTCCAAAAGCTCCACTGCCAAGATGATCTAAAATCGCATAATTGCCTATGTATTTTGATGGTGCTTTATTCTGATTAATGCTTTCAATATTTTCAGCAATGTGCCTCAGTTCATCCTCCTAATTATAAAAAATTTTTAAAAATGTAATTTTGATGATTTACATGTGCAGCAAACTGAAAAGAATAGTTATTTATTAACCTTATGAAAAAATTAGAAATTTTGTGCTTACCAGTAATGAATTTAGCTTTGATACCAGCTCTTCATAAGCACTGATATTACGAACATAATGTCCAATATCAATGAAGATCTCAAACAAATCAGTCGGGAAGAGTCTAAAAATGTTTAACATTTTTATAAATTTAGAGAGTGTTCATAACAGATTACACACCGTGAAGACTTTTTTAACTAATGTATTGCTACTCCTTATTTTATAACCTTCTAAATAATAATTATTTTTGACCAGTCATTCAAATGTTCCTAATCTCAAATAGCCACCATCTGGGACTACAAGGAACTTCCAAAGGTCCCAGCTGGGATTAGGACATCATTTTGCTGGATACTGCATAAACATAGATCCTACTCCAGACAAAGGTGGAGATTCACTGAAGTCAATGGAGCTCCATGTGGATGCAATGGTGTATCTATGCAATTCTGTACAGGTTCTCATATTGCCCCATCGCTGTATTATCTCAGCAACTTCCAATAGAGGATCAAATGATGTGACTAATACCTGTTTATGTGCAGGATTGGGGCTATAATCCTTATCCCAGATTTACAATCAAAAAGACACAAAACAGACAAAGGGTAGGGAATGGATTTACAACACACAAGCCAATAAAATAGTGAAGAATTGGCAAAGCCTTGTTAGTTACATGTTTGGTTGGTGTTTTGTTGTTTCCCTTTTTCAACAGGAGCTATAGGGAGGGTGAGGAATGGCAGGAATGGAAATCAGGAAGTAAAGGAATTGCAAAACAAAGGATGAGGAAATGGCTCAGTCACAACTCAAGCCCTATTAGTACTGTACAATCTTTATAGGCTGGAGCCCTTCCAGGAAAAGGAAAACTGGCCAGTAAGATGAAAGGGGTGTGTGTATGTTTATAATTCTATCAATTTAAGTCTTTCGATAACAAGTGACGGATAGATAAGAACTACCAAAAGTCACAGCCAATTTGCAGTTTGATTGTAATTTGTATGCCACGGTTTGGCATGTGGTTACACATAACCTTCCTATTCTAACCTTCTGGTAAAACTCTGGTAACACCTTTCTAGTAGAGATGGTTATTGGTGGCAGACATTTTTCTTCATGTAGGGTTATATTTCCCAGCACCCAGCCCACGTAAACAGGCTTGATGTAGGATCAGTTCTCAAAAGTTGTGGGTAAAGAAAGAATCCACTCCTCCCCAACTGCTCCATATCTGGTACTGTAGTTCTGAGGTTCCATGTTGCTTCTCATGCAGCTACGCTAATCTTCTGGGAAAAGGCTGATGGACCTTCACAGTGGCAGATCCAACAGTCCTAACTTCATTCCACCTCCAGCTTGCTCCAAAGCTTGCTATATGGAAACACAAGAGCAGCCTCTATAGGGCTGGGCTCTGTAGAGTTCCTACGATGCAGGCCCCCTCCACTAACTCTCTAAATCTTGCCTTATACAGCAGTACTGCAATGGTTCAATTGCAGGCACAGCCAGCTATTTGCAGCTGTGGAGAAGAGTGGAGGATATGCACTCTCAGATTTTGTTTGTTTGTTTTTTTCTTGTTCTCTGGAAATCAGTTACTACATCTGAAAACTGAGCATGACATTAATTGAGAAACCATACCTTTTAAAGAGATGTCTATTTCTTTCCATACTGAAGAGAAACCTCAAGGCTCTGAAAGCATAACACTGGGGTGGGAGAAATGCTTAAATTAATAACAAATTATGTACAAATTAAAACGCTGCTCATAAAACAGCAAGGGCCCTAAACATATTTTTTTAATCTTAATTTTTAAGTAACTAAGTAGGCCAGGCTATCAGCATGGTAATCATCCTCAATAAACCAAAAATAAACAGCTCTATACTTTAGTCACAAGCCATCTGGTCAGTGCATGCTGTATTTCCAATGTGGGCAGGCCCTCTTGAAAAAAAACTATGGATCAGCATAGCTACACTAGATACCGAATAATTTTATTTCTGCACTGCTGAATTTTTGAGCCACATTCTGCTCGACGACTCTGGTGCAGCCCAATGGGGTTACACTTACGTAACAGGGAGCAGAATTTGGCCCTTTTTTCTGGAAACTGAAGTGTAGAGCCCTAAAAATGTCAACAGGAGACAAAACCAAAAACAAACAAACAAAAAGCCCTAAGTCTACAAGAATCTGAAGATCAGCCACAAGAATACACTTGATCTAGTTTACAAAAAATGATCCACATAGTTCTGTTTCTTTATAATCACTATTAGAGAAAATAAACATAAAAAAAAATCATGACAGGCATGGGTGAAATTAAAGTCTCTTAGGGTATGTCTACACTACGAGGGTAGTTCGATTTCACTTAAATCGAATATGTGGAATCGATATTGCAAAGTCGAACGTGTGTGTCCACACTAAGGACAGTAATTCGACTTTGTGAGTCCACACTAACGGGGCAAGCGTCGATATTGGAAGCGGTGCACTGTGGGCAGCTATCCCACAGTTCCCGCAGTCCCCGCTGCCCATTGGAATTCTGAGTCGAGCCGCCAATGCCTTCTGGGTAAAAGAAATGTGTCGAGGGTGCTTTTGGGTAACTGTCATCATCCGTCCGTCACTACCGCCCTCCCTCCCTGAAAGCGCCGGCGGGAAATCAGTTCGCGCACTTTTCTGGTCAGTGACAGCGCGGACGCCACAGCACTGCGAGCATGGAGCCCGCTGCGACCATCGCTGCAGTTGTGGCCGTTCTCAACACCTTGCAGCTTCTCATCCACCTTTCCCAGAGGCAGATACAGAGAAATCAGGCGAGGAGGCTACGGCAGCGGGGTGAGGATCTGAAGTCTGAGAGTAGCACAGACCTGTCAGAAACCACGAGACCCAGCGCCGAGGACATCACGGTGGCAATGGGTCATGTGGATGTTGTGGAACGGCGATTCTGGGCCCGGGAAACAAGCACGGACTGGTGGGACCGCATAGTGCTGCAGGTCTGGGATGAATCCCAGTGGCTGCGAAACTTTCGCATGCGGAAGGGGACTTTCCTGGAACTTTGTGAGTTGCTGTCCCCTGCCTTGAAGCGCAATGACACCTGGATGCGAGCAGCCCTGACTGTCCAGAAGCGAGTGGCCATAGCCCTCTGGAAGCTTGCAACGCCGGACAGCTACCGGTCAGTCGCGAACCACTTTGGCGTGGGCAAATCTACCGTGGAGGTTGTTGTGATGCAAGTAGCCAACGCAATCGTTAAGGTACTGCTCTCAAAGGTAGTGACCCTGGGAAACGCGCAGGTCATCATAGATGGCTTCGCCACGATGGGATTCCCAAACTGCGGTGGGGCTATAGATGGAACTCACATCCCTATCCTGGGACCGGACCACCAGGCCAGCCAGTACATCAACCGAAAGGGCTACTTTTCTATGGTGCTGCAAGCACTGGTGGACCATAGGGGACGTTTTACCAACATCAACGTCGGATGGCCGGGCAAGGTTCATGACACTCGCATGTTCAGGAACTCAGGTCTGTTTAGACGGCTGCAGGAAGGTATTTACTTCCCGGACCACAAAATAACTCTTGGGGATGTGGAGATGCCTACAGTGATCCTCGGGGACCCAGCCTACCCACTAATGCCCTGGCTCATGAAGCCCTATACTGGCGCCCTGGACACTGAAAAAGAACTCTTCAACTACCGGCTGAGCAAGTGCAGAATGGTGGTGGAGTGTGCTTTTGGCCGTCTCAAGGGGAGATGGAGAAGCTTACTGACTCGCTGTGATCTCAGCGAAACCAATATCCCCATTGTTATTGCAGCTTGCTGTGTGCTCCACAATCTCTGTGAGAGCAAGGGGGAGACCTTTATGGCGGGGTGGGAGCTTGAGGCAAATAGCCTGGCTTCTGATTACGCCCAGCCAGACAGCCGGGCGATTAGAAGAGCCCAGCGGGACGCGCTGTGCATCCGGGAGGCTTTGAAAGCTAGGTTCCTCAGTGAGCAGGGTAACCTGTGACTATTAACTTTGTTTAAGGAGAAGCTGAACCTGCCCCCGTTTCTTTACCCAGTTTATGTTGACTATCCTCTCCAGCTACATACCCCCTTCACCCCCTTCCCAAAAAATAAAATCAGTTCTATTTTCTTAATGAACACCGTTGTCTTTATTACTGTTTTTGTGGGAATGTTTTAAACCTGGGACGCAGACTGTGGTGGGGGGCGGGTGTAGTGTAGTGATGCAAATGATGCCTCTAAACTCCAGGAATGACAGGCTCCGCACTGGTGGACTGGTTGTTTCAACGGAGCCTGCCAGCCGTCCTGGGCGGGACTGCGTGTATGTGTCGCCTATGTGACTTTCTGGCAGGGGGAGGAGGGTTACAGATCCCCTGCTGCGTGGTTCTGTGATCCAGGATAAGGACCGCTGCATAAGATCTCTAACTGCCCTCCCCCGCTACAAAGTCACAGAGCAACCCCCCCCCCCAGAACATGAAAACCACCTCCCAGACTGACCAGGGTAACTAGTAACTGCACTGTGTATGTGCCCTGCTGCTGGACCTGCCCCCGCCTCTGTACCCTGCTAAAGGTGACTGTCCTGTCCAATTACCAACCACCTTCCCCCCCTTCACACAGACTCTCCTCCAAAAGAAAATGATGGAAACAGTAATTAACAGAAACGTATATTTTATTAGTAACTACACATGAAACGGGGGGGTGAAACTTGGACGGGGGCTTGTGTGAGGTGGGTAGGAAAGGACTTTTCAAATTTTGGGGAATGAGAGCCTTCTAGTGCTAGAGCACTCTGCAGGGGTGGAGTGAAACTTTTCACGGCCCCTGCCGCCCCTCCTTCTTTGGACTTTGGGTGAGGGGGGTATGGGACTTGGTGGCGGGGGAGGGTGGTTACAGATACACTGCAGCGGGGCTCTCTCCTCCTGCCTCCGGTCCTGCAGAACATCCACAAGGCGCCGGAGCGTGTCCGTTTGCTCCCTCATCAGTCCAAGCAGCGTTTGAGTCGCCTGCTGGTCTTCCTGACGCCACCTCTCCTCCCGTTCCATGTTTGCTCTGTGCATTTGGGACAAGTTCTCCCTCCACTGTGTCTGCTGGGCTGCCTGGGCTCGGGAGCAGCACATTAGTTCTGAGAACATGTCCTCCCGCGTCTTCTTCTTCCTCCGCCTAATCAGCGCTAGCCTCTGGGACTGTGATGCCAGGCTGGGTTGGGAGACAGTTGCAGATGTGGCTGTGGGAATGGGAAAAAGGGAGTGAATTCCTCAGAAAGATAAATGTAGTTGTGAACAAAGAACATAGTCTTTCTCTGTGAACAAGACCATGCACTGCACATATCACATGCGCACTCAGGACAAGGTCGAATTTTCGGCCCTCGCCTTCAGTGCCTGTGGTCTTGCAGTGGCGATCTGAGAAGCGGGGCAGGACACCGGAATTTGTGTAGCGGGCAAACATGGTAAGCCGTAGACTTGTGGCTGCTTAAAACTTTAATAGTAGCACTGGCCTCCTTTCACATTGAAAGCAATGCCAGTCTCTGCTGCCAGCAATCAGGCAAGCATGAACTCTGCCCCTGTCCCACCCCCTCGCGGCTGTCCCAGGGAAAGATCCCTGTATGCTGCCCCTCTCCCGCCTCCACCGCGTGGCTGTAAAGCAGTCCCAATACTAACATTCCCCTACCTAATTCAAAGCAGGGCATCATGAGCGACATCACCCTGATGAGGATCTCGGACAGCGAAAAGGAACGGATGCTTAGGGAAAGCCTGCAAAAACCAGGGCCGTATGCCGCCATGCTCTGCAGGGCAATGATCCCTGAGTACTTGATTGTCTCCTGGTGCGGAAACGTTTCGTACCACGGAGGACCCAATAAGGTCGCTCTCCCCAGGAACCTGATGAACAGTCTTGAACATTACCTCCAGGAGAGCTTTGTTGAGATCTCCCATGAGGATTTCATCTCTATCCCCGGACATATAGACCGGATTTTGGTGTAGCTGCACTGGCAGGGACTAAAGAGTGGAGCGTCTTGGGCAGCAGAATCATGAAAAACCGGACATTGTTAGATTTTTTTTAAATAGTTGGGACTAAATAGTTAAGCGCCTAGGGCAAAGAAATCATGAAAACCCCATTGTTAATATTATAAATATTCCAGTTCTCTTAAAAATAAATGTTTAGATGTTTAAAACACTTCATGAAAAACCCATTGTTAATATTATAAATATTCCAGTTCTGTTAAAAATAAATGTTTAGGTGTTTAAAACACTTACTGCTTGATCCTTCCCCTGATTCTGTGTCCGGAGTAACGGCTGGGGACGGTTGGTAGGGGATCTCGGTAAGGGTGATGAAGAGCTCCTGGCTGTCGGGGAAATCAGCGGTGCAAGCGCTGTCGACTGCCTCGTCCTCCTCATCTCCTTCCTCATCTTCCCCGTCCGCTAACATGTCCGAGGAACCGGCCGCGGACAATATCCCATCCTCAGAGTCCACGGTCACGGGTGGGGTAGTGGTGGCGGCCGCACCTAGGATGGAATGCAGTGCCTCGTAGAAACGGGATGTGTGGGGCTGGGATCCAGAGCGTCCATTTGCCTCTTTGGTTTTTTGGTAGCCTTGTCTCAGCTCCTTGATTTTCACGCGGCACTGCGTTGCATCCCGGCTGTATCCTCTCTCTGCCATGGCTTTAGAGATCTTCTCATATATCTTTGCATTCCGTCTTTTGGAGCGCAGCTCGGAAAGCACGGACTCATCGCCCCACACAGCGATGAGATCCAAGACTTCCCGATCAGTCCATGCTGGGGCCCTCTTTCTATTCTGGGATTGCACGGTCACCTCTGCTGGAGAGCTCTGCATCGTTGCCAGTGCTGCTGAGCTCGCCACGATGTCCAAACAGGAAATGCGATTCAAACTGCCCAGACAGGAAAAGGAATTCAAATTTTCCCGGGGCTTTTCCTGTCTGGCTGGTCAGAGCATCCGAGCTCGGACTGCTGTCCAGAGCGTCAACAGAGTGGTGCACTGTGGGATAGCTCCCGGAGCTATTAGCGTCGATTTCCATCCACACCTAGCCTAATTCGATATGGCCATTTCGAATTTAGCGCTACTCCTCTCGTTGGGGAGGAGTACAGAAGTCGAATTTAAGAGAGCTCTATGTCGAACTAAATAGCTTCGTGTTGTGGACGGGTGCAGGGTTAATTTGATGTAACGGCGCTAAATTCGACATAAACGCCTAGTGTAGACCAGGTCTTAGTTAATATAGAGATTTTTAGGTAACTCTACTTGAGTTCTTTCCAACTACATCCATCTATCTAAGCCAATGCAAAAACTAGCTAACTAAACAAAGATGACTGCAATGTGTAAGTCAAAGGAAAATGAGTTACCAAGACTCTGAAATAGTGGAAACAATAATATAGATCTAAATAATATTCAAACTGTTAGATTACATTCGTGACTAAAAATCCTATTATGGGTCCAATCCAGTCATCCTTACTCAGACGGTAGGAGTTTTGCCTGAGTAATGACTGCAAAACAATGAAGGAGATAGAAGCTAACCACTATTTTTGAGGGAAGCAGGGCATGAATCACCAATACTGCAAGCAAACAGTCTTATTTAAAGAGCACTGTTTTTTCTTAATCCAAAATAATTGCCCTTTGAATACAGGAGAAACATCCACCTTGTAGTTCCAATATTCTTCTGAGACTCACACAGTCAGAGGGGTCTGTCAGTGTGGAGTAACTTGCAGGATTGGAGCCATAGTTATTACTTTGAAGGTTCTCCTTTTTAGTGACTGTGCATAGACCCTAATGTAGGAAGGAAGCAGGGTTATATGACTGAAGCACAGGACTGAAAATCAAGAGATCTGTCCTCCATTCACAGCTCCACCACAGACCTTCCTGTGTGACAGTCAGTTACCTCCCTATTCATTTATTTACTACCTGTAAAATGAGAATACTACTACTTTCCTTCCTCACAGCAGTATTCTGAGCTTAACACTTTAATGTCTGTAAAAAGCTTCAGATTTAAGGCAGCATATTCTTTACATACTGAATGTATGGGGAAAGAATGATTGTGATATCATAACTACTCCCCAAGTAATGAATTGTGATTCCTAAAGAAGTAGAAAGAATGAAGAGACTGATTAGCAAGACAACGGTCTTGGGCCAAATTGTAAGAAAAAGCCCATGAAATTAATAAAATTCACAAATATCCTGGAAATCAATAATTATGAGAAAGGAACTATAGAAAAGCAGCATGAGATGTTAAACATGGTTTGGATTAAAGATAGATTTCTTATCAATTGCCTGGATGTGGTGGGATTTCTGTTTAGTATATAAGCACTGTCATAATAAAACCCTTGTTACTAAATTAACTGATGTCACTTTATATTTAAACCATACTACATTCACTCATGATCTATTGTAAAATATAATCTCTTGTAACTTTATGCTGAAGTACTAAATTGGAGTTACACACTTGGTAAATTAATCTAATTAAAAATATGTATATATTTGAAGCTATTGTTAAACAGATGCCTAACTGCATTAAATTAGTTTCATAAAAAGATTATATAAATTTACTCCCTCTTTAATTTCCTTCAAAGGATAATGTTACAAAAAGTTTTAAATTAATTTAGGTATTATTAAAAAAAACTTTAGTGCAGATGATAGGCACTAGTTAACGTTTGAGATTGCAGTCTCATCTGTTAATCCATAAAGAGTATATGCAGCATACATCAGCAGCGTAAGATCCCCAAACCACTTCTCCAGTGTGTCTCAAGCCTGATCTGGAAGGACTACAGTGGGAAAAGGCAATAAGAATGGCCATCTTTCCCTCTCTACTAAGATTTTAGTGACATGGACAACTACTCACTAGAAATCAGAAAGACACCAAACTGATTTCTCAGAGACCACAGAATAGCAGTCAGATAGTTAAAAACTATTGATCACTACCAATCTGGGTTGACTCTAACCAATGAATTTACATAAAATTACATAACAAACACAGAAGCCATCCGATCTTTAGCAAACAAAGATTGATCATCCTGCATTTTAATTTACATTACTTTATGCTGTGTTTTGCTATACTTTATTTAATAATCACAGCAAGGTGCTCCCACTCAAAAGAACTGAAGTCAGTAGCATTGTGTCAAGTGTTTATCGGCTTTCAGTGAAAGACATAGGCTTGACAAAGGGAGAATGTACATTGGGCTCTCTGGAAAGTGGGATTTCATCACATCTAAGGCTATGTCTACACTACGCAGCTTTTAGCGACATGGCTGTGCTGCTACAGCCGTGCCGCTAAAAGGCACGCAGTGTAGCCGCTGTTTGTCGGCTCTCCTGCCAACAAAAAACTTCCACCCCCAAGGAGCGGCGGTAGCGTTATCGGCAGGAGAGCGCTCCTGCTGACAAAACACTGTTCACACTGGCATTTATCATCAACAAAACTTCTGTCTTTCGGGGATGGAGGTTTTAACACCTCTGAACGACAAAAGTTTTGTCTTTCACTTGTCAGAGTAGACATAGCCTAAATATCCACTTTCTTCAATGTTACATAGGATATAAGAAGCGTAAAGTGTTTTATAGCAGAATAAAAACACATAAGGTCATGATTTAACTTTTACTTTCCTGTGGTATAGCCATCTGCCATTTGTTTCATGTATTTTTTAATAAAGTGGTTAATAAAGTTGCTACTGTATATTAAAATACCAAAAATCATAAGAAAAATTTCCAAAGACTGTGTAAAGCTTTCAACGTGAAAGAGAATTACCTGTAATAAATTAGCTTTTACTGCATTCCTTTGTTTGTTTGGTAAAATCAGTTTTGCTATTGTATATACCCCATTTTCCTGGAAAAGAAACATAAAGGAAAGTCATCAATGTTAGTGCTGCTTTAGGACAGAAAGTGCAAACAAAATTAAATGTTACTTCATGTAAACAATTCAGAAGTTAATGTCAATTTGAAAAGTTCTTAGCCATCTATTATACACTAAGTTTTAAGGTAGGATCAGTGAAAAGCTCATAAGAGCAAAACCATCATTACATTCACTGTAAACTAATCCTGCACTTGAACCCTTGCAGATGGACCCTGAAGCCATGTTGAGCTGCAATGAAGTCAAAGGGATTGCACCACTAGAGCTCCCATCATCCACTGTGAATTTTGGAATGTCATGATCAGAGATTTATGCACCAAAAAAGCCCTGAACTGGAATAAAACCCTATGTGATAGTTTTGGAAATATGTCTATGTCCCCAGTCTGATTCTGTGAAAATCATGTCCTAGATCAGAAAAAAAAACAAAAAACAAAAAGAGATGTACTGTTTTTAACTTTTAATCTGACTTAAATATAAAAACAAAAAAATGGATTCCACTTAAGATAACATGTGTGACTCAGATAAAAATGGTTCCCTAAACCTATATGGTTTCTATAATTCTAGTGTTTACAGTGGCAGATTAATTTACGGGCCCAGAGAGCCTGTACCCAGGGTCCCTGGCCAATTTTAGGGCCCACTGCAGGAGCGCTGGAACCTGGGTAGAAGTGGGTGGGCCACCGATGCCAGAACTGTGACCCCACATCCTGCTCCTATTCTTCCCCTGAGGCCCTGACCCTCACTCCTCCTCTTTTCCCTGGGGTCCCACCAGAAGCCAGAGCCGGGCCATGTAAGAGCCACCACGTGAGCCCCAGTTGCTGTGAGGAGCCCCAAACCCTCCAGCTGCCCGGGGCACACCACCCAGGGCAGGTGGAGAGTCCAGGGCTCATCACAGAGGCCTGGGTTCCGTGGGCAGCCATGGCTCTTACCACGGCCTGGCTCTGGCTTCTAGCCTGGCTAAGGGCCGGACTTGCGGGGGAGAGGAAGAGCAGGGTGTGGGGCCCATAGCAAGGGGTTGTGGTAAGCCTAAAACCTCTTTGTGCCCAGGGCCCCGATAAATCTTTATCTGCCTTTGAGTGCTTAAGCTATACAAGGAGTTAATTTTTTTCAGACTCTTTTCTACTCCTCCTCTTGCCCAGTAGGCACCGAAAGTATTCCAACACCCTGTGCCTGTTCTATCTAAGCAATCTCCTTCCCTTTACTCCAGTGGTTCTCAAATTGTGGGTCAGAACCCCAAAGTGGGTTGCAACCCCGTTTTAATGGGGTTGCAAGGGTTGGCGTTAGACTGGCTGGGGCCTGGGCCCGAAGCCAAAGCCTGAGCCCCACCACCTGGGCCCAAAGCTGAAGCCTGAGCCCCTCCCCGCCTGGGCCCACCGCCCAGGCCCAAAGTTGAAGCCTGAGCCCTTCTGCCTGGGCCCGAAGCCCGAGCCGCACCTCCTGGGGCCGAAGCTGAAGCCCGAGCCCACTACCTGGGCCCAAAGCCAAAGCCCAAGCCCCACTACCTGGGCCCAAAGCCCAAGCCCCACCGCCCAAAGCCGAAGCCCGAGCCCCTCCACCCGGGCCCAAAGCCAAAGCCCAAACCCCACCACCTAGGCCCAAAGCTGAAGCCTGAGCCCCTCTGCCCGTGCCAACTGTCTGGGCCCAAAGTCAAAGCCCGAGCCCTTCTGCCTGGGCCTTAAGCCCGAGGCACACCGCCAGGGGTCGAAGCTGAAGCCCAAGGCACACCACCCAGGCCCAAAGCCCAAGCCCCACCGCCCGGGGCCAAGCTGAAGCCTGAGCCCCACCGCCCAGGGCTCATGCTTTGGCTTCAGCTTGGGGTGGCAGGGCTCAGGTTACAAGCCCCATGCTTTGGGATGAAGCCCTTAGGCTTTGGCCCCCCCATCTGGGACGGTGAGGCTTGGGCAGGCTCATGCTTTGGTCTCCCATCCTGGGGTTGTGTAATAACTTTTTGTTGTCAGAAGGGGGTTTCAATTCAATGAAGTTTGAGAACCCTTGATCTACTCCCTTTAGGTACGTCTCTGGGTTTAAAGTGAATGTATTGATGATTTCACTCATGTATCATTCATGGTCTTGACTTAAAATTTAGTATATAATAGATGTCTATGATTTTTTTATTTGGCGTTAATTACTGAGTTCTAGCATCTTGGGGTGTGCATGGGATCCATACAAGAGTCCACTAATTAAAACCATTTTCAGAACCATAAATTCTAGTCAATTAAAATGATGTCACTTGTTAAAATCCACAAGTCCAGAGATGAAATGCCAGAGTGTTCATGAGCCTTAGAATTTATGTTTGTCAGTCAATTCTAAGACAATTTTTTTCTATCCTGAATATGTCAAAAAGAAGGAAATAGATTTATGAGTTGACAGTTGTTAACCAAAAGAAACTCATATCTGAGCAATCCTACTTATACACTAAAATATAGCAATATTGGCCATATTGCCCAGCCAGTTCTTAATGAGTTCTGCCTAAAAATTAATTATATGATAGTGACTAATAAGAGTTAATAAGCCAAATGTCTACAAATAGGCATTTTGCATCCTTGTTCAATACTGGTAAACACACTAGCAGCAGAGTAGGGTCCTTTCATAAGGTATTATCCTGCTCCTGAGAGTTTTGCACTTGACTTCAGCAGAAGCAGACCCATAGTATTTAAGTGGGTGGCATGCACATCAGTGTGCCCTGTCCAGCACTTTGAGATCTATGGATGAAAAGCACTATATAACATCTAGGCATTGTTATCTCCCAAGGAGGTGTAGCCTTCCAGTTATGGACACGTCCAAGCTAGAATGTATCCTGCAGTCAACAACACACACTTGCTGGGGCCATATATTTAGGGTGACCATACGTTCCGTTTTGGCCGGGAAAGTCCCTTTTTTAAGCCCTGTCCAGGCTGTCCTGACTTTTTTTTCCCCAAAAGGAGGGATTTGTCCCGTTTGCCTTTGCTGACTTGATCAGTTGGCAAGAGCAAAAGGACAAATGCCCATTTTTGTCAAAAAAGGGGTTGCAGTGTGGAGGGGGCCAGTGGAGATGCCAGCCCTCCACAGGGGGACTTGGCAACAACCTCCTGAGGGGGCCCCCACAGGTTTCCAGTGACCAGGCAACAGCCTCACGTGGGGAGGGTGTGCCTCGGGTGAGCGGCTGGGGGTGTCCCATTTTCTCTTGGGGAAATATGGTCACCCTACATATACTGTACTCCTTTCATAAGGGCAATAAGCTGGACATTGTGGCTGCATGCCTTTGGCTGTCTTCCCCAGCAACTGCAGGCCAGGATGACTTCTAAGCAGGATGTACAGCTGGAAATGCTTTATTCCCACCTCCATATGATTCCCCTGGACAAAATCAAGAATTTGCAAAAGGTGAATGTAACAAAGTGGCCTGCCCTGTGGGCTGGAGAGCCTGGGGCTAAGCCAACCCTGGTAATGGAATGAGCCTCACCTGAGGAGACTCAGGCAATTCCCTATACAGAGTAGAAGGTGGCTGCATTAAAAAGGGGAAGCCCAGGAAGCTGCGCTGGTGGACACTTCTGGGCCAAAAAGGAAAAGGCTCCTGTAGGACCAGTACGCTTAGTGAATAAAGCCCAGTGTGACTAGGAGGCTGCTGTAGAGGTGGGAAACCTTGCCTGTGTTTGGGACTGGACGTCAGAGCCCCAGTGAAGGAGAGCTTGGAGGACTGGCTGGGAGATCAGACCAGGATGGAAGAAGAGCCCTAGGGGTGAAAGACAATGCCAGAGGTTATGGGCCTATTACTGTGAGATTCTGGGGCCTGTGATGTACAAGAGGTCAGACTAGATGATCATGATGGTCCCGTCTGGCTTTAATGTCTATGAGTTTATAAGAGTTATAAACAACCAATAAAAATGCACAAGGAGACACAAGTAAACAAACAAGAGATATGAAAGTGATACCAGTGATACACTTAAACACCTTACCTTAACTGAATAAAGTCTTCCTACCTGTACTACTTGGTGAGCATTAGTGTCATTGAGCACCAGTTCAGTAATTGCAGCACAACAAGCTAGAATGAAAAATCATATATAAATATTCAGGACCTGATTCACAAAGGTACTTAGGTGCCTAAAGATGCAGATAGGTGCTTAACAGGATTTACAAAAGTACCTAAGCAAGTTAGGTGCCTACCTCCCATTGACTTACACTAGGAATATCAAGGAAGCAGTCATAAAAAGTACACCAGAAATATGTCCCAGACAGACTCTGATGTTAGGTGCATGCTATTTCTTTGAGAGGACCGTGATACTGAGACCTACTAAGCAATGTCACCTGAGCGCTACTGGGTCCTGAGAGGTGAAACTGAAAGTCTGAACGAGTTCTAATATATTATCCCCAGGATAAGCACATTATGAGTAGGCTTGGCAGAACTTAATTTGTATTTAATAATTTTGACAGATATTATTGTTTATTTTAAGCATTTTTAAAATTTTTATCAATTTAAATTGTCACAGTTATGTAAAATTATGGGTTTTAAGCATTTTTTCAGTTTTTAGCTATTTACATTTTCATAGCTGCAAGAAATCATGGGGGAAGGGTCACAAATGTGGGGGGCGAGTCAGACAATTATTTAATGGCAGTAGACATTGAGATTTTAAAAGTTAAACCTTTATAACAGTTAAAACACAAATTGTCAACATGACATCAAAATATACAACATATATATCCTTAAATCAAATTCTAATAAGTTCTCAAGCAACATTTTTCTTACTTTGGTTATCTGTAAATTTTGATTATTATTGATGTGTTGTCACTTTGTGTATGTATGGTGGAATCGTGTTTACCAACATTTACTGATAAAATCTAATCCTTTCAAGGCTATTTATGAGTACACTAAAGTTGGATCTGAAGCAAAACTTTAATAATTGAATTTAAATTTTCCTTGAGTTAAAGCAGGAGTTTAAAACAGAAACACCAGTTGAGCTCTTGAATACTACTTCCTTCATTTTGTGATGAAAAATACATTGATATTGCACATCTCAAAAACCTCACAGCTGACCCGATTCTCCTCCTCTGCAGAGTGAATGTACAATGATACCATTCTGATCTGATAACATTGCGCCCCACTTTGCCCAGGTATAAATGACTATAAAAAATGTAAAGCTGTGGAAGATCAGGCCCAATATACATACCTGCTTTAAGGGAGAAAGTATTTTCTTGTATTTCTTGAGGACTTAAATCTTCTGACAAACGAAGCTGTTGGAGTCTCCCTGCTGCATTTGCACTAGATAAACTCCCAACAGAAGAACGATCAGAAACTAGATTTCTATCTCTGGAAAAACAAATCACAGCGTAAAATAAATATTTAATAAATATCTTTGTTAGTCATTTCTGAAATTTGCCTGGATTCCTATTTCTGTCTCTATTCTCTATATCTACATATATTCCACAATGAAAAATGTAAAAAGCACTTATGCATTTCAAATTAACATCAAAAACATCAGATATAAACCACACAGTGAATGGGTAAACAGTTTAGCCCCCTTTATAGTTTCAAATAAGACATTGTGGGGAAGAGTTTGAACTGTAACCTAAATTTACTAAAGCAAGTACTGATTTAGGGTGCTCAACTACAAATATTTTAATGGGGCCTGATTTTTAGAGGATTTTCTGAAAATTAGGCCCTTGAAAATAGCTTAAGTTGGGCATCCAAAAACTCAGGTATCCAAAATCATTAGTCACTGTTGAAAATTTAGGCCCACGGTCTTATCACTAGACTGAAAATTTAACATACTATAAAAAAATTCATAAATCCAAATAATGAAATAGATGTCCCTTTCTACCTGCCTAATCAACATGGAAATTGTATGCACACTAACTATATATTTTATCTCTATTTAACTGATTTAACACAGCAAAGCCATGTTATACATTTGAAAAGCATAGTATATTTGAAAAAAATACACTTCATAGTCATTAATGTTTGAATTATCCACCTGATTTCTTTTAATTTCTGCAGTATGCAAGGTCTGCAAATACCATCAGAAGCAGAGGATGAAAGCACTTTTTTATACATTGCCCTGGCTGGGATAATTCAGTCGGTGTTGGTCCTGCTTTGAGCAGGTGGTTGGACTAGATGACCTCCTGAGGTCAAATGGTTGTGTGATGACCTTAAAATATGAGGCAAAGTCATTGACAATTATACTGATTTTGAAGACTGAAGACCTACCCCTGTAATATATGAAGGAGTTGCTTGATACCGCCCCAAATACGGATTTCCACACTAGTCTCACAATCTTCACAAATCTGTACCAGAATCCAAACTACACTCCACAAAAGCTTGAGATGATCTGAATGAAGCAAACTGAGCAGGATAGGAACTCCTTCATACAGTTTCACTTGCTCTTTGACTTGTGACTCAGCACAGAGGAGGCGTAGCAGCTCTGCAGTCAGCCTAGAAAGAGATCAGCAACAAATTATAACCACACCATATAGGTCACCTGTGTTAAATCACCCAGACAGTTAATTATTATTGAAATTCCTATTACATTCTTGTTACTTAGTGCTACTGTGTATACAAAGATGCCCAAGTAATCTATAATACATTTTCTGTTAAGTTACATTCAATAAAGTGTCATATTTTATTCACCCATTAAAAAGGCCCTAAACTTTATTAAATGAAGCCTGTCACACTTTTGGTGTGCAGTAATTCATAACACTAATAAGTTTGTATCACTTTCCTGCACGTGTATTATCTGTCTGTTCAGACATGTCTGAAAGCCTCTCTAAATTCACTTCAGATGGGGCTCTGAAATCAGAGATGGTGCTATAGGGCACTTAGTCAGCATGAAGACAGGTTTCAGAGTAGCAGCCGTGTTAGTCTGTATCCGCAAAAAGAACAGGAGTACTTGTGGCACCTTAGAGACTAACAAATTTATTTGAGCATAAGCTTTCGTGGGCTACAGCCCACTTCTTCGGATGCATAGAATGGAACATATATTGAGGAGATATATATACACATACAGAGAGCATGAAAAGGTGGGAGTTGTCTTACCAACTCTGAGAGGCCAATTAAGTAAGAGGAAAAAAAACTTTTGAAGTGATAATCAAGATAGCCCAGTACAGACATTTGATAAGAAGTGTGAGAGTACTTACACGGGGAGATAGATTCAATGTTTGTAATGGCTCAGCCATTCCCAGTCTCTATTTAAGCCTAAGTTGATTGTATCTAATTTGCATATCAATTCAAGCTCAGCAGTTTCTCGTTGGAGTCTGTTTTTGAAGCTTTTTTGTTGCAAAATTGCCACCCGCAGGTCTCTTCATTGAATGACCAGACAAGTTAAAGCGTTCTCCTACTGATTTTTGAATGTTATGATTCCTGATGTCAGATTTGTGTCCATTAATCCTTTTGCAATTCATACTCCAGACCCTGTGACACTGCAGCTAATACAGTATACACAGCCTTTGAACAGGTGGAGACCCATGTCTTGCAGGTTCCTGCAATTGCAGGGCTGGCCGCACCAGCCCTTTGCATTACTGTGTTAATATTCAGCGAAGCTGGATTCTGGTTCCATCGATAATGCTTTCCAGGTGAACTCGTCAGCCATTGCTGTCGTTTTTCTGAATTCCTTCTTTCTTTTTAATGGATTACAAGTAGTGGTGGATGAACTTCAGAAGGTTCATAGGTTATGGTAGAATAACCTATGGTAGAATATGGATCTTTCTCCACACTTGTGTTCACAGAATTGGCTGGAAATGTCACAAGAAAAAGTTCTCACAAGATTTCTATTACTTCCTTCCTCCACAATATGGCTAGAGAGACCACAAGAAAAGGATATTTCACTGTGTTTTGGCTCTTCTACTTCCATCTGGAATCACAAAGCGCTGAAGTGTACAAAAATTAAAACTCATATTTTGAACCTTCAAACTTAACTAATCTTTCAGCTTCAATTACTTCTTCCTTGAATTTGAAACTTAAGACTACTGTAGTCACAGAGCAATATTCAGCAGAGAATCTTTTCTGTCATGGTCACTCCTTTTTTTTTTTTTTTTTCATAATGAAGTAGTATTTTTTTTTAAGTTAACCAGAACTTTTTTCAAATATGCCAGAAGATTCAGTTTGTTCCTGTTATTTGGTTTCCCTGTCCCTAATTATAAGTTAAATATGCAATAAAACCTCTGTTTTAAAATGTCTGATATTCTTTGGTGACTGGAATGCAATCATGTTTGAGAGAGTGTTTTTGATTTCTTGATGTTTTGTACTTAATAGCCAGTGATCACTTTACCACCAGTTTCTTTCAAATATGGACTTATCAGCCCCAATCATCAAATCCAACTGAGCTGTGATGACTTTAAAGTAGGTGGAAATATCTTTGTACACCTCTGATCCACAAGACTGTTGGGATCTGAACCAGTCCCAGATATAAACTAGAGCAGTCTCAGGGCTGCTCAAATTTATGCCATGTTATAATGGCCCCCAAGTGAAATACCACAGTCCAGCATGCTCTTTGGCCATGCCTCCAGCTCCCACAGGTGGCAGTGGTCTAGTGCCCAGGGAATTCTCAGTTATCCTTTAGGGCAGCTTTACAGTCCATTTATGCTGAATTGTAGGCTAGGATGTAACCCATCAATGGGAAGAAAGACAATAACATGTACTAGATAACTACCAAAGAACATTTTACTGCATCAATATCTGATTTTAAATGCCACAGCTTTGAAACTTTACCACTCTAATTAAATAAATGCAATATGTTTGTAAATCAAAATAAAATTTAAAACAGAAAAGTATTTAACATAATTAGTCTATAAATAAGGTCCTACCTTTTAGATAGCAAGTCATATTCATGTAATATCACCAGCAAGTTTTCTACAATGGTGAGCTCACTGATCTTCTCCCTACATTCTGGGCTACAAATGGAAAATTTTTGGATATTTATATAAAATAAAATTATATGAAAAACAAGTGTTATTTTTACTTAACTTCTGCCCACTTATACTTCATCATCCATTGCTTTGGCTCACTGTATTTCCTTATGGCTCAAGTAATGATGTCACACTGTATATGCAGGTTTAAAAATACAAAAATAAGTTGGTTCCACACTGACACTGCATAAGTTTACTCTTTTTTTTTTTATAAAACAGATTGTTTTAGTGAAACATCAACATGGTAAATGAGAAAAAAAGGTTAAATATTTAATATGCTTAGAAAACTAACTTTGAAAAAATTAACATCAAAAGCTGAGGTTTAATTTTTTATTATGCCAATATAATGTCTTCATATTTTTATTATATTCTATTACTATTTTGCTTATCCCGTGCAAGTGTAAATAAAAGTAGTTTATGTGAGGAATATTCAATGGAAGCTGCAATTTACAAGTAAATAACTGAATTTACAGGGCATCATAATCACCAAATTCTTTAACTCTAGAAGATTATAATAATCTAGGCCCTGATTCAAGAAAGTATCCATATTCAGAATAACACTTAAATATGTGCTTAAGTCTCGCTGACTTCATTACTTAAAGTTAAGGACTTACTTCTCTCCTGACTCAGAGCCCTAATTTGAAATAACTGCTTACCCATTATATAGGATGTTCTTTTCAGATAAAATTAAGAATCTTTACAAATAATTTAAAAGAGTATTAAAGAGTACTCAACTGAGGGAAAATCAGTTTTAAATTACTACAAGGAAAAGCAAAACATACAAATGTACTAAAAGAAGCAGAGTTAACTGAAAGTGGACTAATTATTCTGACAAAGGTAACAGCATTTTTGGAAAGCTGCTGAAGACAATAATGGATTTAAGAAAAGCATAGATTACAAATTCAGCCCTTATCTTCACTAGTAGGGATTTGGAATAAGCATTCTTCTGAATTGCGAGTGGATTTTACATTTAGGTGATGTCTACACTAGCACTTATGTTGGCAAAACTTTTGTTGCTCAGGGTTGCAAAAAAACACACCCCTGAGGGACATAAGTTTTGCCAGCATAAGCACTCATATGCACAGCGCTATGTCGGTGGGAGAAGCTCTCCCGCCAACATAGCTACTGCCACTCGTTGAGCTGGTTTTATTATGTCGACAGGAGAGCTCCCTTCATGTCAGCCTAATGTGGCTACACAAATGCTCTTACAGCAGCACAGTTGTATTGGTACAGCTGTGCCACGGTAAGCTTGTAAATGTAGACATGGCCTAAGTAAACCGGAGAACTTATGTGTTCTTTTGGGGGTGAAAAATTCTGGCCTTTGCAGGTGTGATTTGTGCAATGGTATTTGAAAACGAACAACCTTTCAACATCAGGTTAAAGATATTCAGGCAAGATAAACGTATTTCACTCCTAGTGTAAAATTAAATGGAAGACCAAAATATCTATATATTATTATTCTGATTATCTCGGGGGGGGGGGGGAGTTAATAGAGAATACAAACCGAAATATGTTTCAAATGCCTTCTGTTTTGACAGAAGAGAAGAGAGATTCTGGAGAAGTCTCAATGAGGACTTCTCACAACTGATTGTATCAACTTTCTACTCTTTTCACTTTTCTCTCTCTGTGTGTAAAATCTCTAAAGCATAAAGTTGTTCTCCAAGTTTGGAAGTCAATAGAATAATAATGGAGAACATCAACTCCAAGGCCTGCATAGGGACTGCGGGATGGGACTGTATGGCCCCAATCTTGCAAAGTGGTCCAACATGGGTATAGGATCTGTCTTGAAGGATCAGGGACTATGTGTATTTAAACAACTGGAAAGAGTAAGGCCCTGATCCTGCAAAGGCTTATACATGTACTTTTCAAACTGTGAGCAGTCCCACTGGCTTCAGTGTAAAGTTAAACTGTAATGCTGGTAAACCAAGTGCCAGCTCTGATCAATGCTGTAGGCATTAGCTAAGAACTGACAAACTCATAGCAGCAGAGCAGACCAGTTCTCTTATATGTTAGTGTTGCTCAAAATAGGTATTAGTCTTATAAGACTATTTAGTGTTTAGACTCTACGGAATATTTGTAAATTGCTGCATGCATTTATCTTATTTGTAATTTCTGTATTCAGTGCTATAAGGAAATATATAAGTTTTGCTTTAGGACTTTGAAAATGTTTGCTCTAAACATCTGAAATCAGATGGGAAGAGTGTTTCTCCCACCCATCCAGAAGAACAATCAAAATGAGATGGGCCATCAAGGAATACAAAGGATTGGTAAATGGCCCTATCAGACCTTGGAAATGCTACATGCAAGGAAGCTAATCCTATGGACCTGGAGGCTTATAAAGTAAATAAAACAAAGGTATAGGAAAATTTGTCATCTCTTTGCTGTTTGAACTCTCACAGGGCCAGGAATACTCAAGTGAATCCAGAGATTCCGGGGGGTTACCCCTGGGTCTGTCCTGAAAGACATTTTGAATTGACAGATCACTACAACTCTGTCACTCTTAGAATTTAGATTGTAACTCATTTGTGCATATACGTTTGCTTACTTTAACCTGTAAATAACTAATTTCTTTTTCCTAGTTAGTAAACCTTTAGATAGTTTATTATGGGATTGGCTACAAGTGTTGTCTTTAGTGTAAAATCTAGACCAATTGATCTGGGGTAAGTGACTGGAAGCAACCTGAATATTTCGTGATTTTTTGGTGTAAGTGACCATTCATCACTAAGTTCAGCTTGCTTAGGTGGCAAGATAGACTGGAGAGTCTAAAGGCACTGTCTGTGACTCCATGGTAAGACTTGTTACAATGATCTAGGAGTTCATATTTGTCATTGGCTTGGTGAAATCTAATTATAGAATTTACCACCCATTTTGGGTGTATGCCCTGTTTTTGACAGTCTACCCTGAGGTAGGCACTCACGGTTGTGAGCCACTCCAGACAGACTAACATAAGCATATGTCTACATCTCTTCAGGACAGAGACTTTAGCTTGTACAGTAACACTTATCCCCCAGTATATGTCAGCTTCAATATTTTGGCAAGAGCTAAGATTAATTGCAAACAACAGCTATTAAAATGAACTTACCTTTCTGCTAAGCTAGTAAGAGCAAGGAGTGCACCCAACAGTACATTACTGTCTCTGGATCCTAGCAAATTTACTAAAGTCTGGAAAATTAGAGATTTAAAAAGATAAATCTATAAACATGATATGTTTTTCAATTAGGGCCCTAAACATGCATATTTGTTCAGTAAAATTTAAATGCCATTAAAATAAATAAATGTACATATCTAGCAAAGACACTAAATCATCATTGAATGCATGACTAGCCTTGGAGATTTAAAATAAATATATCAGAAAAGCATTTTGCTCTTTTCCATACTTTCCAAGTCTTAAGGTCAGGAAAGTGTGTTTCTCCTCCAATAGTCAACACAGTATCTGAAACAACTCAAGCAGGGTAAAGCATCTGCCCTACTTAAAGTACTAAGGGTGGCATCTGCTGCTGCAAGACACTGAAAACCCTGAACTTAGGTCCGACCAAGTAAAAAGCTTTTTAGTTTATATTTAAAATAATTATGTTTGTAATTTTAAGGCTTCACATGTATTCTGTTAATAACTCAGATCTTAAAGTGATTTATATATTTAATATTTTTATAAATGCAGTTGTGGTTTTCTAAAATAAACCAGTTTTCCATTTTTACTTGTTGTAAGCCTGCCCTACTTCATGGTCTGCTTTTTTCTCTCCTGAACCATCTGATGTAAATAAAATTGCCTTCATTTTGCATCAGCAAACTTATACCATGAAACACTAGTTGCACTAGTACTGATCTCAACTGTTTCTAATTTTGGCCCCAAATCTACAAACAGATCGCACTAAGTGAACACCCTTGCCATCATGATGAGCCTCAATGAGGTCAAAAGTGTTCCACACATGTCTGTGGGAGGGTATGTCTATACTGCAATTAAAAACCCGCAAGTTGCCTGTGCCAGCTGACTCAGGCTTGTGGGGCTTGGGCTAAGGGTCTGTTTAATTGCAGTGTAGATCAAATATGGGAAGCATAAATCATTCACACAGGTAGTTGATTGGTTATAATTAGCAGTTCTTTAAACCACTTACTTTATGTGCTCCACTGGCTATAACCCATTCTCTTTGATCTTTAACAGCAGAGAGTTTTTGAAAAATATCTGTGAAATGAAGGAAATCACATAAACTGAGTGTCTCAAATTTAAGATTTTTCATTTTATTAATAGAGTAATAAAATAACAGGTCTAAAACATTGACTTACACTCTGAAATTGCGTATGTTCTTGACATGATATAATTTATAACAGAGAGTCCTGTGGCACCTTTAAGACTAACAGATGTATTGGAGCATAAGCTTTCGTGGGTGAATGCCCACTTCGTTGGATACATCTGTTAGTCTTAAAGGTGCCACAGGACTCTCT